GGAAGATAAACTTGAGTCATTTGTACGAAAATGGGTGTACCTTGGGACCACAATAATAAGTGAAATCAGTCAGATGCAGAAGGTTAAATATTGCATGGTTTCTCGAATATGAGAGACCTGAAAACATAAATGATTTAATGAGCAAATTAAAAGAGACATACTGAGAAGCAGGGAGGTGGACTCTGGAGATGGGAAGGTGGGGTGGAGGAGGAAGGAGGAGGATGGGGCGGGAGAAGTAACACTGATCACAATGTGATCCATATGTGTGTTAACCTCAAGCATGATGTAATCACTGTGTATTGCAAACACATACAGTGAACAGTTAAAAAAGAAACTAGTTGACCTTTATATTTACAAAGAGGGACAGAGGAAACTCAGACCAGGAAACAGTGGGGTCCTGGTGGAGCAGCACTTCAGAGATGCACTTTCAGGATAGGTGGGGTCGCCAGCCCATGTGTGGAGGCCGGGAGTGCCTGCCTGCTTCCTTGATTTCATCGCTGCAGAGCTCACGGTGCTCTCCGACCTCCGGAGCAGTAAGCTGTTGCCCATGTTGTCTTCAGTTACCACTTGCACAGCAGCAGCAGACACACAAGTCCCTGCCCCGCTGCCTATCCTGCCGCCCTGTGTGACATGTCAGGGGACACCTCTGCCCAGAGCCCCGCACTTGGATAAGATTTGCCAGCACCTCTCCTCTCCTTTTGCTTTAAGCTCTTAGCATGGTTTCATCGTTTTGCTTATAAAAATCAAAGCTGTCACTCGGGACATTGAAAGAACAGAGCTGATGCTGCATCTCTGCCACAGTTCGGAACCTCTTCTTCTGCGATGTCCTCGTGTAGTTGGACCCTGCTGCCGTTGTCTTGTACAAGTTTGCCCAACCTCATCAATTTCCCCAGCACCTAAGCAAAAAGGCACCTTGCACTGACCCTCCTCAGGGTGTCGTCCATCACGGTGACGCTTTAAGTGTGGGACCTGGCCTGATTCTGAGACCACTTGACAATGCCCTTTAAACAGAGAACACAGATGCCCAAGCCACTGCACTTGGCAGAGGGATTGATGACACAATCAGCGTGGACATGACGCTGGGCACCATAAACTCTGGAACCCAGAAGCTCTTTTAAATTAAGAAGATATAAGCCCCCAAGTGAAGAATCCCTGAACTCTTGAATTTATTGTTCCCTGTAAAGAAAGAAAGCCAAAATACTATAGACATCACACTAAAAGCCTTGCTTTTGTAGAATTACGCATTATTTTCCTGCCAGTGTTTTGGAGATTTAATGTCATCATCATTTCATTTTTATTCATTTCTTGTGATAAACTTATTATTAAAAATAATAGAAATGGCTGGACCTGTTAACTGACCTTGAACTTGGCATGTGTGAGATAATGCCAATGAAATACAAACACTAGGACTGAAACCAACGTGCTAGTCCTTTCTGTATGAGTGGCAAGGTAACAGGGTCTACTTGATCCAGTTGAGTTGGCCTGTGGCTCCTATTGAGTTAGAAGCAAGAGCAAAAGCATCAGAGGAAGAAGAATGTAAAATGCTGTTCCATACCCGGCACACAATACAACACTTCTTAAACTGCGGGAAAGTGGCTGGGATGTTAGCGGTAGATGCTTTCTGCATTCAAATTACTCCTCACACAATTGCTCAAACCATCTTTGCCTTTTGAAGTGTTCATTTGTGTTGGGAGGGCTTTCGCAAACTTATCCATAGTGGGATTTTTTTTTTTTTACAATACTTTGGCATATCCTGATAATTGTACAAATGAAACAAAACAGCTATCCTACATTGGCTATCTAAAAAGTTTTACAGATAATTTTAAGTTTTAGAAAATGTGCACCAGATCATAAAGAATATATTAAAACTGGAATGTGGAACTTTTACTCCCCAAACTCAGTGGAATGGTGGGAATCTTTATATGCATTTTCTGTGGTTAAAAGTCTAGGTGAACGTGTATTCTAGATAGTAGGGTTCTATGAGACATTCACTTACCAAGCTGACTGCTTCCATTTAACACGAGAATTACAGGGCAAAGTCTTAAGAGCCCAAACAAGGCCCTTTTGTTTATGAAAAGTGTGACTTTTATTGGCCCTCTGTTCGTTGGGCCATTTGGACACTTTTTTGTACTTCTCAGAGGCTCCGGTTAGTGTGCTTGTAGTTCTGGGGAGTCAGCACTAGGTGATCCTCAACACATTTCCGTTTTCTCAGACTCTCCTTTCACGTTTCATGTGCAAGCTGAAATTCTCAGACACGTTGTATCCTGTGTTGTAATTGTTCTGATTGCTTCCTCTACGGATCTGTGAGATTACTGAGGGCATACAAGTTGATACACACACATCCACTCACACACAGGGACAGCCTCTGCAGGGGGCAGGAAGAGATGGAATATTTGAGAAGGAGAGGGTTCCGTGCTGTAATGCTCAGCACTCTGGATTCTGAATTCAGCAATCTGAGTTTGAGTCTTGGTGAGACCTGGGTTTTACCCTCCTGGTTTCTGTTCCAGTCCCACGTTCTCGGAAGTCACAGAGCTGGTTTTTGCTGGGTATGGAGCACTGTGAGTTCAAGGCCAGCCTGGACTACATAGTGAGCTTGAGATCCGCATGAACTACATAGATCCTGTCTCAGAGAGAGAGAGAGAGAGACAGAAAGTGAGAGAGAGAGAGAGAGAGAGAGAGAGAGAGAGAGACAGAGAGGCAGAGAGACAGAGAAACACAGAGAGAGACAGACAGAGAGAGAGAGAGACAGACAGAGACACAGAGAGACACAGAGAGACACAGAGAGACACAGAGAGAGAAAAGCCAGGCATGGTGGTGCATGCGTATAATTTCAGCACTCTGAGAGGCTGAAGCAGGAGGACCACAAGTTCCAGTTGAGCCTGGCCAATTTAGGGACTTAGTGAAATCATTTTTCATACTGAAAAAATGAAGAGTGGGCTAGAGGCATAGCTCAGTGCAAAGGCCCTGGGCTCAATCCCCAATACAGAAAGAATGAGACAGAGAGAGATAAAGACTGTCATCAAAAATTTGCCCTTTGTTATCAAAATATATTTATGATATTCACAGTTACATGAGACCATTTTATTTAAACTCCATTTAAGATAGTTTACAAAAAAGGTTTCAATTCAGTGAGTAATTCTTGACCCACACTACTTCTGTCGTTTCTAATTTTATTCTCTGTAAACACATGGGACGAATACTTCTGCATTCTTTATGAATACACTGGGAGAACGGTTGTTGCAAGATGCCTCAGTGAGCTCATCAGTGGAGATAGCAGTACTTATCTTACTGGAGTGATGTAGGAGTGAGAGAGGAATACACATCCTCTGGCTGGCCCTGGGACTAGACACTGGGGGCTGGCCACATGTCTGGCATAGTTCTCACCCTCTTGCTATAAAAGCATGTATTGCTCACACCTATCCTATAATACGTCTCTTCTTATTATCATTTAGTGTAGCAGAGAAGTATGTCACAGAGTGGCAAAATAATTCATTCAAGGTCACACGGCTGGCCACACATGCAGAAATGCTGTTATAAATCATTACCTTCATCGTTACCATTTGCAGCGTAGTGAGGTTTGGAGCTTTCCCTCCAGGGTTTGTGGAGAATCCACAAAGGGCGTTATCTTTCCGGTGAAGGTAACCACATTGGATCTAATGAATGCCCTGACCTTCACAGTGCTTCGGTACAGGTTTTCCTCAGTAGGATTCTGTCCAAGCTAATTAGCCACATGCGGAGAGGTTGAATGGTTCTCCCTGCAGGCTGGCTCCCTCCTGCTGTTCCTCTGGAGCCTTCCCCTGTGGGACACCTACTGATTGTTAGCCTTGGTGCTTGTCTGGGGAATCAGGATGGAGGTGCTGTTTAGAGAAGTCACATTGGGTGGGTGGACAATGAGCCCGGGCCACCAAGAGTCCCCTGAAGGGAGACCAGGGCCGGGGCTCCTGAACGTCGTGCAGAGGTGGGAGGGAGGGATGCACATGCACAGATGACACCAAAGGAGACGGTGATGCTGCCAGGGACCTCTGCTGGCGCCTGACCCACAGTGGGTGGTGGTGAGTCTTGGCAGAGGACAAGGGTGGCAGCATAGTGAGCACGTGCTTCCAGAGTCTGGACTGAGCCCTTTGCACCGCACACTCCGGGCAGCCATGGGCCCTGCCTGCAGACCCACAGCTGGCCCAGATGGACCATGGTGCTGAGCTGCTGCAAAGCTGAGGCCCCTTTGACTTCTGAGCAAAGCATCTTTCCTGCTGGCCTCTTCCCAGTGTGTACATCAGGGATTCTCTCGCCACCTCTTAAATTCTTACCACGTATTCAGGAGCAGTTCATGGGCATCCATATCCCCTGCCCAGTGCGGCCCCCTGGACTTGGCTTACATTCTTGCATCTCCCCTTGCTGACATGGGCCTGGTCTTTGGATCTGAACACAGGGAGGTCAGACTTTTGCTTTCAGCACTATGCAGTGACTTCACACAAGTTGCTTAGGTTAACTGCGGTAAGGACATGGCACATTGGGGCCCATGGAGCACACATGTTTAGTGGGGATTTCTACAGGCACGATCCCATCTATTGTAAATGAACCATGAGCTAGTTACACTTGCGACTCCCAAGTTCCCTGCCTGGTTCACCTCTGCGTTTCTAAGATGCTGACACAGTGAGCCACAAACTAGAGTTCAGCTAGAGATGCCGAGCTGTTTCCCGCCCTGTCCCAGCTGATCACCCTTTGTAGCTTTGACAAACCTCTTCCAGCATGGCGTTGGAATGTCCTGAAATTCATAGCCAGGTCCCACTCATCTTTGCATCTTGCAGGCAGCCTGCTGACCCACTTGTTGGCCTGAGAATTGTACCAGTTGAGAGAGTGATGGAGGGAAACATGGGGTGTACTTTCTGAGTGCTATTACTGATCTGGGTGGGTGACTGAGACAAAAGTAAAGAAATGCAGTGTGGAGAAACAAAATACCATGTTACACTTTTATTATTATTATTTTTTAAAATTTCAAACAGGTGTTTTTGATGCTTTTGGAAGATCCCAACAAGAAATTACACACTGCCCCAGGCACCAAGTTAGAGCCTCAGAGCCAGAGACCCGCTGGGCCATTCCCTGACTCCTGTAAGTACAGAGTGGGTTTTTGCACTTCTGCTGTAGGACGTGGGTCACCAGCCTCGCTTTACACCCTTTGTTTCTAAAGTTGAATAGCATCAGCCTGAACTAGTGGGCAGGCGGGACTGGGCAGGGAGTGGGTTTGTAAATGGATACGGGTCAGATGCAGGAAGCTCAGGGGTTTGCGCTTGCTCAGAAGGACAGCTATCATTTATGGGGGAAATTTTATCCTTTCTACAGATTTAGACTTATTGTATCAGAAATTTCTCATGAATAAATAACACTGTTCCTCATGTTTTCCCTGCAATGTAAACAAAGCAATGCAGTCTGCTTTTTCGGCTTCCCTATCGCGCTGATGCTGGGCTGGCAACTGGTTGATGTGGTTTTAAGAAACTACCTGATGTGTGCTCCACTTCCATGGGACTCTGTCTCTGGGGATCCTGTCTTTTGTGTACAGGCTTCCTTATGTCAGCCTTAACAACAGGACAGAATCCAGGCTTCGTTTCTGAGGTGTGATGGCAGCATAGGTTCAACCCAGTGCCTAGCATGTTTATTAGCAGGAATTCATCAAGGATCACAGAGCCTGGCTCGACGGGTGCAGCAGGCAATAAACCTCAAAGGGTGCCTTCTGAGATCTCATCCATCAGGAACTCAGACCCATGAATACACTCCTAGGGTTAAGTGAATTATATTACTTTTAGTAGATGCTTGGTGTGTTCTTACCAGCACTGTTCGAGTGTTGTAATTTCTCTATTTGCTTTCCAGCCCTTGTTATAATGAAGTTTAGTTCTACCTGTCCCTCTGTCCGTCTGCCTATCTATTTTCAAAGTTGATGTTTAGTAGATTTCTCATTTTAATTTTCCTTTACAGTTCCCTAATGATTATGTCAAGCATATCTTCTTTTTTAACAGCTCTGTTGAGATATAATTCATACACCACTAATTTTACCTGTTTAAAGTGTACAATTCATTGAGTTTTATACTTGTGCCCTTCCTACCATTCTCAGTTTTTCCTCACCCCCAAAAGACTCTCTGGTCTGCAACATGTAGATACCCCTTCCCGCCATCCTCAGGAAAATCTCTGGCATTTTTCCTACCTGTAGATTTGCCTCTTCTAGACATTTTATATAAATAGCATTGTAGATGTTGTCTTATTTCATTCTTCTCATTGCTGAGACAAAATATCTGCTGCCCAAAGTTAAAAGAGGAGAGGTGGATTTGGCTCACAGTTTGTAGAGGTTTCAGTCTGTCATCGACTGGCTCCAAGGCAGAGCGGCACTGCAGATGGACGTCACAGAAGAGACAGCTTGTGGTGAGCAGAAGGCAGAGGGCAGCGAGGAGCAAGCAGTAAAGGGCAAAGGCAGATTCTTTGTGTCCCTTTATATCCTATGTAGGTGCTACTATAGGGCAGGTAGCACTCACACCCAGAACTGTGCCAAACCAGTCAGTGGACTAACTTACAGCATCACACACGAGATCCTGCCACAAAAGACACTGATGATGACTGTATGAGGCTTTGGGGGGAGACATCTAGATACAAGCCATAGCAGATACGGTCTTTTGTAACCAGCTTCTTTCACTTCACGGAAGTTATGCAAGGTTTATTGTCACAGTGTGTATTGGTACTTTATTTCTTTTGATGCCCAGATCACATTCCATTATTGTGTGTACATGACACATTTTTATCCCTTCATCAGATGATGGGTGTTTGGGTTATTTCCAGTGTCTCGTTGGTATGAACATGCTGTTATGAACATTCATGTGCAAGCTAGTTTTCACGGATGTACATTTGCTCTTCTGTCTGTATCTAGGAATGGAATTGTTGAATCATCTGTTTAATCACTGAGGAACTGCCAGAGAGTTATCTAAAGCATGTACTCCTCACATTCCCACCAGCAGTGGGCGAGGGCTTTTGTTTCTCTGTATCTTTATTAACATCAATGATTCCTAGTACTGGGCATCTTTTCAAGTGTTTATTGGCTATTATTAAATCTTTCAAGAAACATTTGTTAAAGTTCTTGTTCATTTCTGAACAAGGTCAGGGTTGCTTTTCCCGTTTTTGCTATTGTTGGTGAATTGTGAGAGTTCCTTATGTTTTCTGGATATAAGCCCCACCATACTCTGCTGTTACTGAATGGAGCAATCTCATTATATCGATTATATGCATGTTTCCTGAAGTGCTGTTTCGTTTTCTGTCTTTCTTGACTTCTTGTCAGGTTGCTTTGTTCACCCTTGAAAATGGGTATTGAAGTTCCCTACTACTATTTTAGATGTATGAAATTCTACTTTGATTTCTCTAAGTGTTTAGGAGCCCTAATGTTTGGTTCCAGTGTGTCTATAATTATTACATCTTCTTGGTGAATTGATGCTTTCAATAAAAGGAACATTTTATTTAAGGACCTTTATGCAAAACTCTTTTCATCTGCTGTAACCAATTTCTCCTTAGCCTATTTGTCTGATATTAGTATAGCTACCTCTCTTATTTTTCAATTACTGTCCACCTGAATTATCTTTCCCCATCTTGTTAGCATATATATGTCTGTGGGCCTTTTATAGACAGCATACAGTTGAAACCTATTTTTTTTAAGCATTGCTTTCAGTCTATGTCTTTCACTTAGACACTTTAAGGAAAATGGATTAAGGGAATTATGATAGAGTAGTACTTACTTTGCATTTTGTGTTTTTGTTTTCTGTATGCCTTATAACTGTTTCTCTTTTCTTCCACTACTGATTTTGGTGTTCTTTTTTGTGATATGTTTTAGTTTCTTTTTATTTATATAGTGCAAATATTTTATTTATCAAAGGGATTATGTATAAAACCCTAAAGTTGTGCTAATCTATCTTAAATTAATATTAACTTCAATCACATACAAAAACATTACACTTGTACTCTACTGACTTTATATTGTTAGTATCAAAAGTTACATCTCTATATATTGCATATCCAACATAGCTTATAGTTATTTTTATGATTATTGGTTTTTAAATCCTGCAGAAAAGTATGAAGTAGGGTACAAAGCAAGATTTAATAGTATTAATTTTATATTTGTCCATGAATTTATGTTTACTAGAAAGCTTTTTATTTGAGCTGTCTGTGAGTTACTGTCTAATATTTTTTTCATTTCAACTTGCAAGGCTGCCATTACCATTTCCTGTGGGGTAGCTTTGCTAGTCATGTACATTTGTAGCTCTTGTTGGTTTGTAAATGTCTAATTTCTCTTTCCGGTTTGAAGGGCATTTATGCAGGATGTGAAACATTTTACTGTGTTTCCTGATCATTGGGAATAACCACCCTCTGCCTTCTGGGAAGCAGGGCTCTCCTGAGATGATTGGCTGACAGTCATACTGAGTTTTCCTTTCTCATTTTCAAGCTGCCTTCTTTTCTTTGAACTTTTGGTAGTTTATTCGTAATGTGTCTTGGTGTGGGTCTTTGGGTTTCTATTACTTGGTGTTAGTGCATGAATCTCCTCGCATTTGCTTATCCCTGTTTCCTCAAATTTTGGGAAATTTGGGCCTACTTTTTTCTTTCTCTCCTCTTTTGCTGTAAATTTCAAAATTCAGGTATTGTCCACCTCATAGTGTCTCATATGTGTCTTTTTCTCTGACTACTTCTTTTTAATAACAAAAATTTGTTTCTCAGGCCCAATAATTTTATGTGACTGTCCTACCTTTCACAGATTCTTTTCTCTTCCAGTTCAAATCTACTCTTAAACTTTGCTAGTGATGCTGTTTTTCAATTCAGTTATTGTACTTTTCAGCTTCAGACTTTCTGTTCATTTCTTTTATATTCTTAAAATCACTTTATCTCTTCATGGATATTCTCATGTGGTTTATATATTGTCTTTCTGATTTCCTTTAGATCTTCACTCATCTTTCTCTTCAGCTCTCTAAGAATATTTAGGGCAGTTATTTTCAAATCTTTATTGGCATATATGTCTTCAAAGACTATTTTTGAACATTATTTTGCTCTTTTATGGGGAACAGGCTCACCTGTTTTTTGTCATGCATGTGTCTGTGTTTACTGAAACTTGGCATTTAATAAATCAGCCACTCCTCCCCGTCTTTGTAGACTGCTATGGAGGACATTTGCCAGTTAGTGGTTCCTGCACCTTGAGTTCAGCTGGGAAAGTCTTGTGGACTTCTCAGTTCTTTTCTGGGCTTGTGTCCTATCTGAGCTTCCATAGATACATACTTTTCTTTCCAATTTCCCTTGGCCACTTTTAAATGCTCGAGTTTCTCACTGACTCTCCCAGTAGTACATTTTGGGGTTTCAGATGCTCTGCTGTCCCCCATCCCCTTACTCTTTCATCCCAGAGGTCTGCCATCCCCCTTGGTTCGCACATACTATTGTGCTGCTGATGCTTTTGGTGGTTTTCAGGCTGAGATCTGAACTTGGTTGCCATTCATATGTCATCTCCGAGTCAGGTGGGACAAACCAGTCTCCCAGGCAGTGCACAGCCAGGCCAGAGCTTCATAAACAATTCCCACACTGCTCTTTCTGTCCCAAAGGAGGGGTGAAGAAATGGCTCATTTCCTTATAGCCCCACCAACATGGGGAAGGTAGGGGAGGGTCACATAGAAGCACCACAGCTACCATTCTGTGTGTGGTTTTCTTCTCCTCTTTCCATTGTGGGGACACTAGGAGTTCACTTGATTGCTTAGATACTTGACTGATTCCCAGAGCTCCTAGAAGACTGTGTTACTTGGCCTGTAATTATTCATTTGCTGTCTCCATGGGGGACTGGGGGACTGGAGGTCCTAATCCACCATTTTCCTGCATCATTCTCCTCTTGATGGTTTTAAGGGACCATTTTTATAATTGAATATTCTGACTTTCTTTCTTTTCTTTTTTTTTTTTTTTTTTTGAGTTTTTAGCAAAAAGCTGTATATTCAGTACACCCAGAGTTTTCTCTCTTCCATGTTATCTGGCAGGCAGTTTTCAATCACTATAACAAATAACTGGGATAATGAACTGATAAAGAGAGAGGTTTATTTTGGCACAAAGTTTTG